CTAGACATTTGAATTCAGTAATGAGCTCAATTTTATCATTTTCTATTTTTATTTCAATTTGATTTAAATCTAATTCTCTGTATTTAAATGGTGTAGTAAGTATCATATCCTTTGTTTTGTCCACATTTAGCTTCAATTCATTAGCTTTTAAATATATAGCAATATTATGCAATGCTTCATTCATTTTTTTAATAGCTTTATCTATATATTTATCACTAACCGATACTAGGGCATCATCAGCGAAATAATGTTCATATTCACATTCATGTAAATTAAGAATAGTAATGGCCCCAAAATACTTCCCTGCGGAACCCCGTGGTCTATGCTTATTGCTGTTGATTCAAATTCATTGATTTTGGTTACCTGCTTCCTTCCTGTGAGGTAATCACTGATCCAATCAAATACTTTTCCTTCAATGCCATATTTTTTTTAATTTTTCAATTAATATTTCACGATCAACCGTTCCAAACGCACGTTTAAGTTCTAAGAATACTGCTACAGTGTACATGCCTTTACTCATTTTATCTTTCCATTCAGTAACTGTAAGCTGAAGTGCGGGTTCGCATGAATGTCTGGTTCTAAAACCAGACATTCATTGGTTTGTGAATAGTATGTTTTTTTCATTGAAATATTCCAACAGTTGTTGATATACTACTGATTCTAACAGTTTTTCAGCGCAAGGTAAAGTGTTAATTGGCCTATATTCATTACATTTTTTTATGTTTGGAACTTTTTCGATAGGCGTAACTGTACTTGTTTTTAGATCATCTAAAAAACTACTATTTTGTAACGAAGTGTTGACAAAATGACTCCACACATGTCCAATTACATCAAAAGTACTCTTTATAATTTTGCTCGATAATGCATATACTTGTGATCCTTTGTTTGCTAAATTGGAATTACTTTCAAATCTTGAAGAGTTAGTATATCAAAATCACTGAAACCCCCTTCATCAACGTAGTCGATGTGACAGGTAAATCCAATATCTCCAATATCAGAAATAATGTCTGTAATACTATTTACAAAAAATGAATTGAAACAATTAGCCAATTCTTGTTTATCTCTAATGATAACTTTTTGATTATTTTTTTCAAATTGAATACCATTAGCACAATAGTTTGTGAATTGTTTTGGATTGAATAATTTTTTTTAGAGTTTTCCACATTAAACGTGAGTTATGTTTGTTGCTATCAATCTGACCCTTTTCTGCGCAATTTTTTCAATAATCATGAAAAAAATATATATTATAGAACATTTAGTACATAATTCGAAAAAAATAATAAAAAAAATATGTTTTATATGTTTTATTTATTTTTTCATTTTTTTTTATAATGGTGCACATATGCATCATTTTGCATTATTAATCTATGTTCAGTTACCATCAAAATACAAAATGTTGCATAAATGCTACATGATACCATTATTCATTAGCTTCAGAATAATATATTTATTGATGAAGTTCTTTAAAACAATTGATTTTTGCATTAAAACATAGAGATGCAGTACATTTCTCGCACGTAACATAAGTATAGCCTTCACATTTTGGCAGTTTACCTACACCGTAGACGTTTGGAATTCCAAATTGGCCAATGTCCAAACTGGTCTTGGCGTACACCTTGAGGAGGAATATAGGAAGCTGGATTTCGTCGTTTTCTATTTTGTAAGTCCTGTTCAAGATTTGACTTTCGTCCTCGTTTCTTGCTAACTGCTAATAATGCCAACCCTAGGTCCATAGCAACTTCTACACGAAAATTTGCTAAAGTTAGCAACTTTGATGTCCTTTTTTGTTGAGCATGTAAGCGCTTGTAAAGTAACCAAGCATTTACTACTGATATATCTATAAGGTGGTAAAACATACGAAAATACCACTTCTTTGATTTTATCGTAATTTTATGTCTGCCAATCAGACTGTCGGTAAGGTCTACCCCACCCATGTGACGATTGTATTCCTTTACCAATTTCGGGCAATCTACTGTGATTTTTTTCTATTGCCTTTTATCAAATCGTTGGACCTGTTGTACTGGTAATATTCCACAATAGTTTGTCAGAAGGGTGACGACTTTGTTATCTTTCCAGACAACAGATGTTACATCGATAGTGTCCATTATAGTTATATACTCACTCATAGTCCCTCTTGGTGATTTTTCAATTTCTGGTAATTTACAATTTGGTAGTCGGTTTCTACGAACTGTGCTTAAAGCTTGAATGCTTTTTTGACCAAGATGTACCATAAGAGGAAGTGTGGTGTAATAATTGTCGAAGTAGACTCTATGGTTAACTTTTTAAGGTGAATTGCGAAGCAACCTTGTAACAACATTAGCGCTGGCACCTAAATTCGATTGTGTACCTGTCCTATTCTCATTGCTATTCTCTTGGCCCGTATAAACTTCAAAATTATACGTATAACCTGAGACTCCTGACAGTACAAAAAACTTATAGCCCCATTTATGAGGTTTAGCAGGCATATATTGCTTCAAATAAGTTCTTGCTTTGGTTGAACAGATTTGTTCATCAACTGATAAGTCCCGTTCATATGGCACAGTTTGGAAACGCTCCAATAAATGGTTGATAACTGGACGCAATTTATACAATCGATCATGATTTGCATCATTGCGAGTTGTCATATTTGTATTGTCATTGAAATGTAATACTTTACGTATTTTTTCGAAATGTTTTTGAGACATCATTTGCTTGATACTTTCTATACCATGGACGTAGAAAAATAAATGAACTCGGCAAACCAATACCTTCAACACAGAATGTTTTAAAGCCGCTCGGTTCGGTGGCGAGCGGGTTACGGGGAAGGAGGAATCTTGCGATAGACTGTAACATACCCTCCAACGACAGTGGCGCTCGCAATAAATTCAATATGGGCAATGTAAACGAAAATATGCAAAAAAAATGTTATATACTTATGAAAACTTCAGAGATCTATTCATCAATTATTGTTAGAGATTATAGATATTTCCGACATCAATTACAGGAAAACTTCATTGTATTCCAAATAAATATAATTACTCGAAAAAGTCGGTTCTTTTAAAAAACTGTTGAAAATTGATAAATAAAAAAAGAGGAAAAAGGAACAATGTTTTGAATTGAGTACCCACTCGATAATATGAATGGAAATATTTTTCAGAAATAGTTGTTTGAAATTAGAAACTTCGAAGAAGTTTCCCAAACACCCAAACACCAAACTGGAATCTCGCACTCTACATACATTTCGCTAACCAAGTTAGCGCTAACTTGGTTAGTGAAACGGGCGTCGAGTGCGAGTGATTCCAGTTTGGTGTTTGGGTTTTCATCTTCTCCGAAGTTTCTAGGAGTTTTATTGATTTCGAAATAAAACAGTTTTTGTCAATATACTCCTAACTCGTTTTGTTGATGAATCTAATTTAGAGGATGTTTCATGATGAATTCTAATGTTGAAATATTTATTTAAAATCAGTTTGAATAGCTGCAATGAATGACCACCAATGACATCTTCATCATACAAGTGATCACCAAAATAATCATATATTTTTGGTGGCATGTTTTTCAGAGTATTATTCACCAAAACATTCATTAGGTTTTTTATTCTATTACTGAATATGTTGTTAGTTTTATGGAAAAATCTAAAATACTTTTCAGCAACAACACAAACTTCTACTACTAACTTTGATGCTTTAGTGAGGTTTCGATATTCCTTTCTTATAAGCAGTGTAGAGGTAGTCTCATCATTTTCATCAAATAAAAGTGACTTACATTTAAAATATGAAACAATATTTTCCAGGCTCCTCGACACATAACCCGCCATATAACAGACAATATCATTAACATAATCTGTTAAACACCAAGCAGAAGAATGGAGAAAATCCAACTCTCGTATGTCTTCACTCAGTTTATTCTCAAATATTGATAGGTCGATTATTCATAAAAGAAAACTTTTGTTTCAATTCCTTCACAGATTGTTGAGATGATGAACAAAATAAAAATTTTAGAGTTAGTGGAAAAAAAGGAGTTTTTGTATATGTTTAAACTGTACCCATAATGCTACTTGAAATGAAGTGTATAGAAAAAAATAAACACAAAACCAATATATCCCATAATGCGCTACATATTATAGCACCGAAAATTTTTCAATCACTTACTTATGACATCAATGATGACTATCTCATTATCTTTATCATATTTTCTGCTCGGCAAAGAAGTTCATGAGCAATCAACTCTACAAAAATCTATAATTTTAATGAAATTTGTTGTAGTGGTGAAACGGATTGAAACCTTAATAACTCACTCTCAATGAACTTTCACAATCTTCACGGACCAAAGATTTAGCTTTCAAATGGTTTATCAGTGAATTCAAGTTTGTCACCTTGGACCGCAGTCTCCGCACTGACTGTTGTAAAGTTCTTATAGTTTTCTGGCCTGTCAAGATTTTTTCATTGTTTTCAGATTTCTTCTGACCTTACGAGGAGTTGAAAAATCACTAGTAGCTAGGTCATCAGGAGCTCTGAAATGAATATAAATAAAATTCAGTTTTTTTTTCAAAAACTGTTCATCTTTTTTTTAAATTGTTATATTGAAGTTTATTAATTTAGTATTATTACCCTAGTATACCCTAGTATGAACATCGTTCATGTTTCTTGGGATTAATAAAGAATAATAATAATAATGTTCAAGCTGTTATTTGTATTCACAAGCATGCACATGTCAAAGAACAAGAATTCTGAATATTCTGGAAAACTATAAGATTAGACTGCAAATATCAACAATAATTAATTTACATTGAAATGACAAGCAGAAAAATACTGGCCTAAAATATCAAAATGAACTGAAATCATTATTATTGAACGCATATTGACGGATACAGATTTGGGAATCGTGGTTAAAATTAGCTTACAAATACAGCTAACCCATTGCTTGTGATTTCTGGAGTCAGAGTATGAGATTTCGGTCTGATGAGTCTGCACATTGCTTCTTAATCTAAATATTATAGAATGCTCAGATTGGGCCAATTTCTAAATGGAAAACACTATTAGATTCAAAATTCCACAGGAAACATTGGAACCAATTCAGTTTTCCTTTGAAATTTTTTTTTAGCACTAAGAGTACAAAATTCCGTGAGCATAAAAGATCATAATTTGATTATTAGCACAATACCAGGAGCAGAAATAGTTATAAAAATGAGCCTCAATCATATTACACCACCTGGATTTGATCTTACCTCTTTAGTGGAGGGCCATCAAAAGACTTGTCAACTTCCAACTTCTGAAGCGGTATCTGTTGATGAGTAGATGAGTCATCCTTTCTGAAAAAAGTTAATTTATGTTACGAAAAATATATTGTTAGAAAATGATAACTGTTGAATGATTACTATACCTTGAAGTTGGAGGAATATACTCTTGATTAAAAGACAAAGGACGGGCACCTTTTTTCAGGAATATTTTTCCACTGGGTTTCACTTCAAACGCTTCTCCCTCAAAATGAACGGAACAAATTCTTGCATACTTTAGAGTATTTTCGGGGCATTGCTTCAATCCCAAATTCTCAAACCAAACTGCTCTTTCATTGGCATCAGTTGGAAATCTGAAAATTTTTGCTTTACTTCACAAGCGCTTACATGCTCTTTATTCATTAATACGTGTAGATAGAAATTATTAGAATTTGTATATTTGAAATGTTTTCATCTGAAAACATTGCATTTCACTGCGTGCCATGCAAAATGAATTTCGGTTGCATTTTGAAGTACCTATCTATAGCAATTCGAAACTCACAAGTGACGCCTATGAGCAAAAACCTGTGTTCACTTACCTGTGTAAGGTCAATTTTTGGTTAGAACATTGGGATTGCTTGCAAACCCAACAGTAAAGCACCAATATTAGTTTCTATCTATTATTTAACTATATATAAATCAAACACAGTAACAAATTCACTATTTTCAATAAATACCACGAACCAAACTATGTCAACACGAAGTGGAGGGAAACAGTAAACACTCGAGGATAACATAGACAAACAGAACAAGGCAGCAGTGTTGCCAATGAGAATTGTACAAAATGCATACCAACCTGTCGCAAATGTAATTATTCTATTCAATCAACTGTTTCTCTTTCCTTCTCTCTCTCTCTCACTAAATATATCAATATAAAGAGATAATTCCAAAATGCTTGCAGAATATCGCAAATTCCTTGTATATCTTTATTACTGCATTTTAGTTTTTGAATAATCGGATTACTTGCAAATGCAGTAATTACTGGCAAATTGGCATCACTGCAAGGCAGGTAGTAGGCTTCCAAACGACAAATTCGACAGCGTTGCCACAAGTTCACTTGTAACGTACTTTGCCGATTTATATGGTAATGACAAATATTTTCGAAGTGAATGTGGCACTAGTTTAGGTTCTGAAATGTTTGATGTCTATTGTAACCTCATGATAGATGTCATAACTTCATGCTGTTGAATGTAATTATCACGGATTCAATATGGCAACGTTCATATCCACATCGTGATCTTAGAATGCTCCCATTCACCGGCTTCATTTAATGAGGTAAATAACTGAGTCCATTTATTTTTCTACGTCCATGTCCTATACCAATTGACTTCGACCAATAGCTCCGAATACTTGGGAGATGCATGACTGACATCAATATGCAAACACCTATGTACTTCTTTATGTCCGTTGAAGTTAAATTATCTGGATGGTCTGGTGAGATTTGAGCTGAAATTCAATTGGACTGTTCTGTTATGTGAGCATACAACTTATCCGTGGAATTTTTTTAAAGAAGTCAGATGGTGTAAGCATTTCCAAGAAGGCAGCGGGTATTTTTCTTTCAATATTTTCAATATATTTTTTTTGGGAGGCTCAGGTTCCTCTACTAAATTTGTGTCTTTCATTTGGTTTCTGCCTTTCCGTAGTCGTTTCTGTTTAGTTAGTGGAATTATTTCATCAGCCAGTGTTTTATTTAAATCTGCATAATGATTCTCATTTTGAATGGGATTATGTTCTTCAAAACTTTTTGTGCTTGGATTTTCTCGAGGAATTTGAAGAATATTTTCTTCTTGAAATGAAGTGGATGGTACATTAGTTATGTCCATCAAAATTTCGAATCCATCCTGAATTTGGGAGTCAAAACCTGATGTAGATGGTAAATCATCTCCATCTTTTGGTGTCACGATTTCGACTTTTTCATCGGCGAAGTGTACTGAAATACTGTCAATATCAAACAGTTCGTTAGAGTCATCGAGCAGTTCATTATCAGACATGTCGAGAGGAACATTGTTACCTTCTGAAAAGGCATCTTCTTCATCTGAACCTAGCTGAAAGTCGTCCTTACTTCCCGATAAATTGGCAGTTGCATTCTCTAATTCCTGCTGAGTCAGTGGCCTGTGTTTCCCCGACTTTTTCCAAGAAGACATTGTACCTGACAAAACTGGAAAAGGAAATTTTATATGTTTTTACCACTTTTATTTGCAACCAACGTTACTGCAGTTTCATCGTATAAGGACATTTTCAAACGTATACTGTAAAATAATTAATTGATTTAATTACACCTTATATACTACTGTATGCAAGTGTACCTACCTTAATTGAATAGCTACCTGAATTTTGTCTAACTACAGGTACCTACTAATTTATTAATAATTATTGTTTACTTCTATGTTGCATATGTGCATCATTCTGTTTGTAATGTTAATTTGTATATATAGTCAATCGGCAAAATGGTGCATATATGCACCATAAATTAAAAACAGTTTTACAGATTTACTACAATTCGGTGATTAGAAGTTAATTGCAAATGAAATAAATAAATATATTCCTTACCTGATAATAAATTTTTCCACAAAGAATACTATAAATTTCAATGGTTTTACTACAATTCAAACTATGAGTCTTTTATGTTTGAAAGCACAACCGCTCTTAATGGCGACTGAGAAAGAAATGGCGGCTAAAAATAATTTGCATTGCTGACACCGCTTGACATAATGTATATCTACGATATGTTGCAAGTATGCACCAAAGCGTCTATCGTTATTTTAAACTCTCAATGGAATTTTGAATGTGATATTTATTTGATGTTGCAAATATGCATGGAAATGCAGTAAAGAGTTTTAACATAATATTGACTTTTCTTCACCTTTATAATATTCACGACAGCATTACGTTTATTTTCATAATTATGCCAATTAGCATTTCTTTTAAATAACTTGTAAGAAAAATCTCTTTCTTTACTCAACCTTCTGATTTGACCATCATACCAAGGCAGATCTTCTTCATAGAAAGTAATTGTTTGTAAAGGTGCAATTTCATTTAAGATGTTTTCACAATTTTCTTAAATGTTATCATAAATCTGATTCACATTTGTATTGTTGAGTGAAAAGTTACAATCTATTAAATTAAGATTAATGTTGNGTGATGCAGCTTCCATGAATTTTTTTCACTCACTTTGGTAGGTACGCCTCTGGCAGGGTTCTCAGTTGTCTTCCCAGATGTGCTGATTTATGTTAATTGCAGGCACAGAATATCAGAACTGTTTAGTCCCACTACACTGAATCAATTTTAGAAATCATTCAATTTCATCAACTCAGCACCCGAAACTGACTTTATTTTTCAAAATAAATATTAGCGACACTTTTACTGTCACCCTGATGTGAAATTTGAAATTTTCTATCGACAAAAACCACTAAAACTCTAGATTCTGACGGAACTCTACGACGCACGTGCGTACGATAAGACTACTTGAACCGAATGACACCAGGCAAATTTTCAGAACTTCTGGATGTTTTAGAGCCTGCTTCAACAAGCAACTCAATTTTTCCTCGTCCACGATTCAAGTGTGCTGTCGTCAGCAAAGCTATATATTGGATTATTGGTTTGTTCCAATGAGTCGTTGATATATAATGAAAAGAGGGTTGGAGACAATATGACTCCCTGGGGTTGTTGGTAAAAGTATTTGAGAGATATTCATCGACGTCTATCTGCAGGTAACGTTTTTTCAGGAAGGTGGAGAGCCATACACAAGCCATAGATAGCATCTAAGTTTGGCCAGCAAACCCTCATGCAACACAGGGTCAAAGGGTCAAGCGCAACAGCTCTTGACTCTCCATGTTTCTCGATTGCATTATAATATGGGTGACATGCCATAGAAGGTCGCCTATTGATATTTGTTTCTGAAAGTCATTTTGATGATGGCTCAAGATGTTGAAGTATTTGAAATATTTAAGGACAAGTGACACGCTCCAGCTACTCACGGGTGCAATTCTGATACCTAATATACTACAGAATGTCTTTATATACAACGTTCCCAGCTTTTTCATCAGTAGACAATACAAACATGTTTTCTGTAGAGTTTACTCTTGAAAGAGTGACATATAATTGGCCCGGTACCGGTATTCATTCAAATTACGTGCTGTAAGAGGCCATATCAACCAAATTATGGACAGACTTACTTGGAATATTGAAAAATCATTTTCTTTACTGCACATCTGGAACATTAAATGAACTACATACAAAATTTCAGCCTCAGAAAATATAGCGGTACGGAGAAACAGTAATAAAAAGGTAATTTTCATATGTAAACACTCCCCTTTTACATCCACGGTGGTGTCCCCAGTTGGAGTCATTTCTTCCCATTCAACACCTAACAAGCTCCTGTATACCAAATTTTAGCTTCCTCGTAAGACATGTTGAAAAGCCTGCAAAATTCTGGTGCGAGTTCATTGGCGCACTTTTAAAGTACGATGATGGACACTTCATCAGGACCAGACGTCTTGTTGATATTGAGCTGTTTCAAAATTCGCCTAACTAGACATGGTCGAAAAGTAATTTCCGGTATTGTGGATTCGTGTAGGAATAGTGTGTGGTTATTTCCCAGAAAATCAACTGTTGAATGGGCGCAAATAGCTCAGCTAGTAGATTTGTTGTTTCTATGGCTGTTGGTGCAATTGAACTTGTTAGTGGTGGAATTGTGGATTATGTAAAGTTTTGATTGACCCCTTCAGCTACCGACCAGGAGGATCAAGAACCGTTGGAAATGGCAAGCAGTTTATCCCTAATTTTTCGCTTCTGAAGTTTTTGCTCGTATTCATTTGTAGTTTGCAGCTGTTGCGAGCACAAACCTAGTTTGGTTTTCAGCCCTGGGATTTTTGCGCCACTGCCGGTAGGCCAGATTTTTGAAGGCGGCAGCTTGCTCACTGTCTTTGTTGAACAGTTAGAAGATAGATTCATTCGCATCATCCATGGATGATAGAATAACTTCCGTGACTTTGAAAGCACGAAGTAATGGATCATTAGAACTTTAACAAACATCTAGCCAGGGGAAATTTCGGAAATGGTCTTGAGGATCCGCCCACTCAGCAGATCTCTAATGATGAACTTTGCGTGGCCTATACCATACAGGATAAAACGGGAAGGTACCCAGGATATCCCGTAATTATCAGTTATTTTTTTTATCAAAATATTTTTTCGACGTTTTATGATTACTGAATGATTCCTCCTCTAATATAAAGAAGAATGTGCTAGTTTCAAATCTCTTTCGTTTGTTGGGGCCGATATTTTCATTTTCAGTGTTCAGAGTGGTTGTAGACGATATAAATTATAATGAATATCTTATTTGCATCCTTGGTCAGTAATATTATGAGTATCCATATATTCATTGCCAGGATATCTCAAACAAGCATCAACAGATTATGATCAAATCATTACACCCTTTTCATCCTGTTCTTGTTCTTGTGCTTTAAGAGACGTTATTCGATGCAGGAAATAAAACTTTCAATCCAGGGGATGAATACGTTAATTCTATAAAATTGTTCTGTGCTTTCGGCTGAGACATTGCTTCTTTGTGTATCTACCTCCCAACAATTGTAGTTTCAGTCAATTTGGCCATTTTTTGTGCCTCTCGAAACAAGACTGAAAACTCTTCATCAACTTTTTCTCTTAGTGACTTCAGACTTTGAACTACATAGTCAGCATAGTTCAAAGCAGCCCAGAGATCCGCATCACTTGATTGTGTAGCTTTTGACACAATATCAAAGTGTAGCTGAGTAGCTTTTCAGCAGATACTAGAGCTACAATGTACTCTGACTGACATA